ATTTTTTTGATGACGTTATTGAAACACATTTCTAAGTTCATAGCAAAAATGTAAAGATAGACCTACTCAGAGAACAATGGAATGTGAGTACACACACACACACACACACACAAATGCAAAAGGAAGTGGAAGACTTTTTGGAATTATTTCTGGCATCTACTCTTCTTCATCACATGGGTTGCAGTAGCAACAATTTTCTGATTCCATTCACATCTCACAAGTTCCAGCTTTCAGAGAATGTTTGTTAGGCTGAAAGAATAATTGTAGAGAAAATTATTTGAGTTTTCCTTCTCTGATATGTTTCCACTTTACACATTTCACAGGTTTTACTTATTTTTAATTGCCTCATCGCCATGCAAAAACTAGACAATGAATAAGGAAGACTAAAGTGTTGCTTTTGATTTATGGTGTTGGAGAAGAATATTGAATATACCATAGACTACCAGAAGAATGAACTAATCTCTCTTGGAAGAAGTATAGCCAGAATCCTCCTTAGGAGGGAGGATGGTCATATTTTGGACAAGCTAGGGACCACGTGCAGTAAGCCAGCAGAAGGCAGGTGTTTGCATGTGGGGAGGTGCCCTGGGGGTAAGGCTGCAGTAAGCCAGCATGGAAGCAGTGGAAAACAGATGTTTGTATGCGTGGAGCATCCTAGAGGAAGGCTGGGTAAATGAGAAGGGTACAGGAGACCTGGCAATGAGCAGAGCAGTAATGAACAATTAAAGGAGACAAATTTGTCAATTTGTTGTACTATGTTGGCATACATGTTGCTGTTAGGCTGGAGGCTATGCCACATGTGGTGGTTAAGTTTGTGTGTCACGTAGGCTGGGCCTGGTTGAGTGGCTGGGCAGCTAGTGGTAGTTATTCCCACTGGCAATCAGCTCCATGGTGGGATCTATCACAAGCAGCTGAGTAGCTGCCTTAGAGATGTGGTCTGCTTCCTGCATATAAGGAGAAGCCTTGGGGAATGGTATCTAGCTTATGGCATGCTTGAACCCTGCATGTAACTGTGTCATTGTTCAGCAGCCTACCATGCTCTGCTGACCTTGGGACTTACAATGGACTTGAATTAATGGCCTGCCACGTGGTTTGGTAACATCAGGGCTGTGTTATTTTATTTGTCAACCTTGGGCTTGTTAGCCTCAGCAGCCTGAGTGAAGAGATGCCTCTAGCTTCAGTGGGCTGGGAGCAAGAGGCAGAGCTGAAGCCCCAGGTCAAGGAGCTTTCACACAGCCCCTAGAGCCTGGCACTTTGAACTTGGACTTAAAGCCACCGAACTGTGAGAGAATAAACTCCTGTTTGTTAAGGCCATCCCATTTGTGGTATATTCCTGTCAGAATGGCACTAAGTAACCAGAACACCACCAATGTTTCAAATGCCAGCAGGGGTACTCATGGAGGACAGTTTTCACTGGAGCTTCCAGACTAAGATAGAAGAAGGAAGAAGCCATCTACCTCTCAAAGAATGGGCCAGTGAAAACCTTACGAATATCAGTGAAACATTATCCGATATATTACTGGAAAACTTTATGAATAGCCCTGAAACATTGCCCAATATAGTGCTGGAAGATGAGCCCCTCAGGTTGGAGGGCACTGAAAATACAACTGGAGAAGAACTGCCTCCTCAGAGTAGAGCTGACCTTAATGATGTGGATAGAGTTAAGCTTTCAGGACCTCTAATTTCTGATGTGACATGTTTCAAGATGAAACAGCTGCAAACATCCATTAATAATTGGAACATGGAATATACGAAGTATGAATGTAGGAAAATTGGAAGTTGTCAAAAATGAAATGAGGCACATAAAGATCAATATCCTAGGCATTAGTGAGTTAAAATGGACTGGTTTTGGCCATTTTGAATCAGACAACCATATGATCTACTATGCCGGGAATGACAAATTGAAGAAGAATGGCGTGGCATTCATCATCACAAATAATGTATCAAGATCTATCCTGAAGTACAATGCTGTCACTGATAGGATAATAAGCATATGCCTACAAGAAAGACCAGTTAATACTACTATTATTAAAATTTACGCACAACCACCAAAGCCAAAGATGAGAAAATTGAAGATTTTTACCAACTTCTGTAGTCTGAAATTGATTGAATTTGCAATCAAGATGTTTTACTTATCACTGGTGATTGGAATGCAAAAGTTGGAAACAAAGAATCACCGGTAGTTGGAAAATATGGCCTTGGTGATAGAAATAATGCTGGAGATCACATGATAGAATTGTGCAAGACCAGTGACATATTCATTGCAAACACATTTTTTCAACAACATAAACAGAGGCTATACACGTGGACTTCATCACATGGAGTACACAGGAATCAGATTGACTACATCTGGCAAGAGGGGATAGAGAAGCTCAGTATCTTCAGCCAAAACAAGGCCAGGAGATGATTGTGGAACAGACCGTCAACTTCTAATATGCAAGTTCAAGTTGAAGCTGAAGACAATTAAAAGAAGTCCACAAGACCTGAAATATGACCTTGATTATATCCTTCCTGAATTTAGAGACCATCTAAAGAATAGATTTGATGCATTGAACACCAATGACTGAAAACCAGAGGAATTGTGAGATGACATCAAGAACATCATCCATGAAGAAAGCAAAAGGTCATTAAAAAGACAGGAAAGGAAGGAAAGACCAAAT